GGGGCCAGTGAATTCATGAACTGAAAAACATTACTATTCACTTGCTCTCCAAGGTTTGGAGTGGACCAGAGGGATTCGTTTGTGAACACCAACACTGCAAACATATGAAAGTTCTTAATGCCAGATTGCTCCAGAGATCAGGATTATCGCACTGAGTGGAGAAAGGGCCCCTGGAAATTGTGGATCTGCATGGTGTATCTGTTCCCACATTTATTTTGTTAGGAGTGAGTCATAAAGCCATACCCTGATATTGCTACTCCAAAGAAAATTGAATTTCAGCTGCAGAAAGGTGGTGGAGTGTGCCTTCAGATATCTGAATGTGTTGGTGAAGCCTGTGTGCCTGTCTAGATGCCAGGGTAGCCAATGTGTTTTACATTATTCTAGAGGACAGCTCTACTTTTCAAAGCTTGTACAAGCACCCAGGTGCCGTACTACTTCTGGTTCTTGATGGCCAAGGGAAATTTGTGATGCCATGTGCTTGCATATTGTAACTTCAGAAGGCGACTTGAGATTGTTCCAAGAGACAGTATTGTGAGACTGCATGGTGCTGCTGGAGAAGCTCAATAGAGTATTCCCAGATACTTGTGTTGCAAAATTTCTGTGGGTTTTGATCCCCAGCAGCTGATGCTAATGTATTAACTGAAAGTAGACTTTTGGGTCAGGGCTTTGAAATTAACACTCTTGCATATGGTTTTTGGCTGTGTACATGCTGTTTAATGCCATCATTGAATACTGTTGGTTATAAGTTAACAGCTCTGTTTTAGAGTGCTTTGTTAAAATAACCGAAATTAAAAATAGAGTAAAGTTTTGAAAGGGCTTTTCACACATCATCTTTCCTGTGTTTTGTGACACTGTTGCTCGCAGAATTTGTCAGGAGCTATGCATGAATACTCCCAAGTTTGCATGTGGTGACTGGTGGGACTGAGGAGTTGTAAAAGCATTCAGGTATAGTTAGTGTTGGTTTACTTTTGTTTCTTTTGTTTATTAACAACTTAATTAACAATACAAAGCCATAAAGGTGCTTCAGTTAACTTTCTTCTGATTTTCACTATGGTGCTTTGGATAGCAACAGATATTTCACAGCTCAGTTAATTGACCTGAAGCTTGGAGTGAGAGAATGAATGGGAACGAAGAGAACTTTTACAGAAGGAAACTCATGGCTCTGGAAATGTATGGTTTACCACACATTTACAGAAATCAGTCATTCTGTGAATCCTGCTGACTGATTCCAAAGGTTTGGGAATTATCAAATTGCTCATACTTCGAAAGCAAGGTACACACTCAAATGAACAAGTAACTTTATTGACAGACACTTACCAAACATGTTGGGTTGTGATGGGAACAAATGATAAAAAGATCGCATTTCTTGAGAAGTGTGTAAACAGTCTCTGGACTGTCGTCCAGTCTGTGGACTGTTGAGCCCTTGCCTTTCACCTTCTAAATGCTGTGACACTGGGAAGTGGCTGTGGAATATTGGGTGGAGGAGCAACTGGGGGTGAGTGAACAGACATATTGGGATGGCTCCTGTGTGGAGTTTGGGGATCAAAGACAGGTTTCTACAGTCATACCTATTTGGGTTCTTCATTCCCCTGCTGCTTGCTCTGGGGGTTCTACATGGGAGGGAGGTGCTGGTGGAGCTGCTGGTGGAGGAGCATGTGCTGATTGTCCATCCTACTGCTCCTCAGCCAGGATAGGGGTAGGATTTGGTGTGCCAGTAGAAGCCCAGATCCTAGTTGGAGGTCACAGGGAGATCTGATCTGAAGTGCTAGTACCATGAGCAATGTGGGGAGGAACCTTAATACCTTTCAGTAAGGGTCAGATAGCAAAGGGGTGAGTGCATTATGGGAGTAGCTTTAGAGAGGTTTGTTGATACTTGTGACCTGATAGACACCCCTGGCCCCCATTCTCATTGCACTATAAAGCATCTCTGTAGTCACACCACAGCAGAGGTTTATGCATACCGACTCCCCTCTTGCGGGCAAGTGTTTGCACTTTCCTTCAGGAACATGCTTCAGATGTGGACATAGGCCACAAAACAGGTAACCACATGTAGCTGTAAGTACATATATAACTCGAGTGAAACTTGAAGGTGTTGAGTATCTTCAAGTAATTTGCCAAATGACTGTTAAAGTGGGTCATGAGTAAATTAGATTGTTTGCACAAGTTGCTTATTAAGGTTCTACCTGTACACTATATTTTCATAATCTAAAATACTTTCCCCAGCTTGCTACCTTGTCTCATGATGCAACAGATTGGTAGTTACTCTTCCCTGTAGCAAACTTGAAGTGTAGCACTGCAGTTTGTCTAGTTAGTATGAAGAAAATATGGTTGGTTCTTCTGAATAATCATGAACTGAACTTGCCATTCGTATTCCTGATTGTTTTGAGGAATTGCTCTGGTCTGTGGTGCCACACATAGTGGTGTATTTTCCCATGGCTGAAGACATTTGTAAAGGTACAAATTATGTTGTCTAGTTGTCATAATCAGGAGTGCTGACTAGCACCTGGTGACTAAGGGGTTTACTAATGTCTCCTGCACGTAATCAGGTATTGGGTGGTCAGCCAGTAACAATGCTGGTAGGACTTTCAAACTGGAAAAGAAGGGTTTATCTCTCTGTTCTTTTGTTTGAGAAGGAGAGCGGATTCTCCTATGTATTGAGGGAGGTGGGAGACTTTTCTCTATCCAAGAACGAACTTCTTACAAGATGAAAGTAGGGGAAAGTTTAGCTAGTTCCTCAGGGTTTATTGTTTTCCTTGTTTGGGGATGTGGAAATAATGTCTGAGCTTGCTAAGTGGGTTTTTTCCCCCTTCTGTAAGTAAGCTTTTAGCCCAGGGCTTTCCCCTGAGTATCTATATCAATTGATGGCTTTTCCCATCTAGCCACTTTACTATGCTTGCAACTGTAGTTTTGTTTTGATAATAAAGGATTGTTTTCTTTTCTAATTAACCGGGATTGGTTGATTATGTCCTTAGGACTCAGTACCTAGTTACAAGGAGAGAGTCCATTGTTGCTGTGGATCCCCTCTGTTTTTCCCAACTCCAAGCAAAATGGAGGTTGGGGCAGGTGGAGAGTTTTACCTTAGGGAGGAGATTTCCCAAGTGATCTCTTCCCTGGTTTTCTTGAAATTACTTGGCTGGTGGCAGTGGATCCCCCAAAATCCTACTACCTGATTTGGGGGGAGGAGGGGGGGGGGTTGTACCAGAGCCTGTAGAGGCAAGGTTTTGAAGTGCTCTTGCAGGCCCCCACTTCTGCATTCATCATGCCAGAGTAGGGAACAGCCTTGAAATGATGGTAGCAGTAGGATCATTTTGAGAACCCAGAATTTTAAAAGGACAAAGGTTTTTCTTTTGACTAGTTGCAAGCATAGTAAAGAGGCTAGATGGGAAGAGCCACCAATTGATATAGATACTCAGGTACTGGCTAGGTACAGGACACATTAGTTAACACCTTAGTCACTGGGTGCTGGTCAGCACTCCTGATTATGACACTAGTCCTACTAGCAGCTTCAGAATTAGTTTTGTGGCCAGTTCAGGGAATGTGCATGGACTTCTCTGTTACTGGTTAGCAGAGCTCTAGTTCCAGTAACCAAATACTGAAAAACCCCCCTCCCCAATATGGAAAACACAAAATGGCCATTGCCATGTGGCAGCCACTGCTCCTTCCTGTGTCAAACTTACTGTGCTGTATGTGTACTTCCACTGGTCATTTTTTCCAACCCGTTCCTCTGTAGTGGCTATCATTCATATTCAATAAAACTGTTAGCCAGTATTTCTTATAAAATAAATCCTCTTGTCTTACTAGAAGACTTATCTGGTGTTGCCTGGTTCCAGGGACAGCGTAGAATGGCGGGGCCATGCAGCCTGCCTGCTGGCTTCTCCCCAGAGTTGGAGTGGAGTGCAGGGAGGGAATCATACAGTCTGCCTACTGGCTTCTCCCTAAGGCTAGCCCGGAGTGTTTGGGGGCTGCAATGCACTGTGGGCAGCTGCTCACTGAAGCCATCCTGCAGTGGTAGGAACAGTGTGGCACAGTTAGTGGCTGCTCCCCAGGAGCAGCTGGGCCAGTGGCTGCTCCCGGGAGCTGAGATACTTACTCCCCTTCCCCCCATCATTGTGCAGCAGTTTAACTGTTTCTGCTATCCCACCCTTCCCTTTTTGTTTAATATGAAACAATTGCATTCCAAGCAAATACCATTGTCCTGGCATAACCAAATTCTGAGTTTGAATTATAAGAATAAGCTGCATACCAAATCTGATTGTCCTAGCTCTTACCGTTAAGGATGCGTTCTTGAACAAATGGACTCATGGTCAGGTGGATGGACACACACAGAGAGATGGACAAATGCTCTAAAATGTATAGTAGATGATGTCAATAATGTGCTTTTTGGAACTTTTTAGAACAAAATTAATTCACTGTATAAGAAGAGCAAATATGGGGAAGATGCTGATACAGTAGACTTCCGATAATCCGGCACCTTTGGGACCCAGGGGGTGCTGGATTATCGGATATGCCGGAGTATCAGGAGGTACTCCAGCAGAGGGGCTATGACTGGTCTGGGGTGGGGTTGCGGGCGGGGAACGGCGCGGTGTGGGGCCGACCAGGTGCTGGTGAGGGCCAGTGCTGTGGGACCAATCTGGCAGCACCCCAGCTGTTCTGTCCCATGTCTTCCCCAAGTCCGCCTCTGGTTAGTTTCAGCAGCGCCAGCAGCGGACTTGGGGAAGCTGCACGAGCAGCTCCAGTTGTCTGGCTGGCCGGAGCACTTCTGGGTTACAGTTGGTGCCGGACTGTTGGGAGTGCCGGACCACTGTATGCTAGACAATTGGAGTTTTACTGTAGTATGGAGAGAGATATCCATTCTGTAGCTGCATTTTAAAGCTACATAAATATTGTGTCTCTCCATCTGAAATGGATGGCTTTCATAGATAGGTATTGATGTTTGCGCAGAGTTATTAATCTTGGATCTCTCTTGGAATTGTCTTTTAACATGTGTTCTTTCCCCTCAGTTTTACGCTGTAGCCTCCAGTTTCTTGGAAACCTTGCAGCAGGAAATGGAGACTCCCAGAATAGCATTTGGAAGTGTGCTTTCCCTGATCTTTTCTTGTAAGCATTTATATGGGTTTTTCTAATGTAATCTCTTTGGTTATGTTTGAATCTTTTGCACATGATACTTGCTATTCTAGTAGTGCCATAATGATTTGAAAAATAACTTTGGGGAGAACAGATGCATTAAGACCATGTCCTATGGATGTACTTGTGTTACTCAACTACAGGGGTCAGGACCTGCAAAATCTTTTTCTAAACTGAGTAGGCTGGTTTCTTTGGAAAGAGACAGCAAGATTTGTATAAATGCTTCAATCACTGAAGTCTTGTTCAGAAACCTTTTCAGAGGAATATGCTGTAATCCTTTCTGAGGAACTAACTATGCCCAACTTCAGGTTGCTGGCACTTAAACATGATAGTGTATTGATGAGAGCAAAGGGATGGAGAAAGGTGGATTGAAAATAAAACAAAATAACCTTAGCCTCTGATGATGTTGACACACATCTGAAGTATTGCACACTTATATATGTAGATGCAATCTATATAATGGATGGGGGAAATTCCTATAGCAAGTTATAGCTTTTCAGTGACTTTTTTGTATACAGTATTATATTAGATCCGACCTGAAATATCTTTTGGCATTTGTTTGCTTTAAAAGTCTACATCAGCTGAACAGAGTTTTACAGTTTTGATTTTAAGTCATATTTATCTTGATTGACAATTTTATATTGAAATCTCCATTGACCATAGAGACTGATTTTTTTTTTTTTTTTTGACTGACTTAAAATCAGAACTGTAAAGCTGGTTTAGACTTTTATTAAAAGCAAAAAAATCCCAAAAGGTATTTCAGGGCAAATCTACACTAGAAGCACTACATTGGCTCAGCTGCATTGAAGCATCTGTGCAGCTGATGCACATCTAATGAAGATGCTATATGTGGATTGGAGATTGTATTCCTGTTTGGCATAATTTACTCCATCTTTGCAGGAGGTGGAAGTTATGATGGCAGGAGAATGTCTCCCTCTAACATAGCACTGATATAGACAGTGCTAGTATCACCTGTAACTTGCATCTCCCTGGTTTTTTTCCCACACTTCTGAGTGACAAAAGTTAGATCGACTTAGGCAGTAGAGTACACTTGTCCACAGTCTCTGAATCTGTAGTTAGGCTTATGCAGGAGTCCATTTATCATTTTGATGAAAAGTGACAAACAGCACTTCTATCTACACTGCTAAAAATAGCAATGTTTTGTTCCAGCTTCAGAGCCTTCCCCATCATAGTGGAGGGTTCTGACAGGGGTGGCAATGGAGAAAGGCGTCAGAGTCTTTCGCATAAATGACTTAGCCTGAAAAATAATATCTCATAAATCATTCTCCATTTAAAAAATTGGTGTAAATACATTTTGGGTTCTTTCTTATTTGATGCATCATGGTGCACTTGGGCCACATTTTCAGACTTTTTTCTCCACAACCTTGAGGTCTAGAAACTTCCTTGGAAAAAAAAATAAGTTGAGATTCTCATATAATTACTTGATAGACAACCATAAATTACTAAAAGAGTCACAATGCTATCCTAGAAATTGTCAATACTCTAATGTGCTGACATTTCACATCCTGCCTGATGGAACTTTCTGCAGATAACTACAGTAAACCCTCCAGTCCAGAGGTGTTCACAATTGAGGTTCTGCTGTATGTTCCTTTTTTGGCCAGTGTAGGCACCATTGACTTCCTTTTGAAGTTAGTGGGAATCAAGTGCACTTTGCCCATGTGGGGCCAGGAACTTTGCCCATGTGGGGCCAGGATAGGTATTATTTAAGATGAAGAAATATTTGTGATATTGTTTCTTCCATATTAAATTTTTTAAATTTTTTGGTGGTGTAAGGAATTTTTTTTCCAAAAAAAGTTTACATAACCTCTTCCTAATATTAGTTTTGCAATTTTCCTTTATTCTTATCTCTAAGATTACTTGAAAATGATTTTGTTTTATAGGTGACATTTATTTTACCACCTCTTATGCATTTGTATGGTGATGGCTCTGTAGTTCATGAAGTTCTTCATGTTTCCTTTCTTACTATGTACTACTGCCACATTATTTCAGCTTTATTCTTGATTTTTTTTTTTTTTTAAGGAATTGCCTCAACCACCATGATAAGAAAATTATTACCTATTGCTGTATGGTCCTGTTCACCTGCCTTAACTCAGAGAAAGTGAGAGAACTACTGGAGCATAAGAACTTGAATATAGCTCTTGCTGTTCTAAATACCTATAGAAAACAACTGGAGTCTGAATGGTCGTATGTATCTTTTAAAAACTTATTTAAATAGCATGGAGAACTACTAAGATGTAAGTCTGGTTCACATAAATCAAATTTCAAGACCTAGAAAGTAACTTAACTGAGACATTTAGGTTGATTAGGTGTCTATCGTTTGGGCGTGAGGAACCATATTGGTCAACTTTGTATTGATTCTGCATTTTTTTTAAACTTACAAGCTGTGGATACCAAATCTATGTAGAATGGAGGTCAATGGAGGGATGATAGGAGTTACTATAGAGAACTTTCTGGGTGTCTGGCTGGTGAGTCTTGTCCACGTGCTCAGGGTTTAGCTGATCGCCATATTTGGGGTCGGGAAGGAATTTTCCTCCAGGGTAGATTGGCAGAGGCCCTGGAGGTTTTTCACCTTCCTCTGTAGCATGGGGCACAGATCACAGCTGGAGGATTCTCTGCATCTTGGGGCCTTCTACGTATTTGAAGGCTTCAATATCTGAGACATAGGTGAGAGGATTATTCTAAGAGGGGTGGGTGAGATTCTGTGGCCTGCACTGTGCAGGGGGTCACACTAGATGATCATAATGGTCCCTTCTGACCTTAAAATCTATGAGTCTATGAGTAGAACAGAGGTAAATTTGAATCTTAAATGAGCAGCATATATCTAATGAGGCAGTTGAGGGTCATATAATGAAAAGTAATTACATTTGCATGCTGGTTAGTTGTTTTTCTCTTTGTAAAAAGTACTAAAACACTGAGTTTTGAGATGGAAACTAAGGAAGGAAATAATCTTTCACAGATTTTGGTACTTGGGGTATGACAGATTAAGGAGTAATGAAGCACTGCATACCTTAAAATGTTCTTGCATATATTAAAGGTTGAACTGCAATAAGCAACAATTAAAAGTAGGAAAAAGATGTTATCCTTGTGAATTTTGGATGTTTATAGTCTGTAAAATAATGAAATTAATCAGTAGTTTTACCATGTTCAACTTCGTTTTTGCCGTTACTGTAAACCATTTTAAATTATTCATTTATGACTTGTTCTCTTTTGTTCCAGCCTTTCCATCAGGCTGTGTCCAGTGCAAAGGAACAAACCTCTTTAGCATACCCCCTTGTGGCCCTGCTGCATTTCCCTTCAGGTTCTCTTTAATCAATTGTTGGAGTTAGGTTGGCAAAAAAATGTTAAGGCCCCTTTGTGAGATGCAAGTCATGTTGATTATCTTTGAGTGGCCGCAAATCACCTTATTCAGGGTCCCTGTAAGAGGTTTGGTCAGTTCTGTGTCCTGGCCTGACACAGCCCAGTGCCTCTTTTCTGGAGCTTTTGCTTCAAATAGCCTATGTTCCCAACTCATCTGAAACAGTGTATACACCAATGGAAGAGTTGCATTGTCTCCCCTTAGAGCAGGAGCCTTAGCCCCATTCTTTGGGGTTGGAGTACAATTTAGCTGTAGGACCTCAGCTGGTTTCTGCGTCAGCTGATCATTTCTCTCTCAACTAATCCTCAGGCTGAGAGGATCCAGGCGATAGCCTTCTCCTGCTATTGTCATCTTTCTGCTACCTCAAGAGTCTTGCAGGAGCCTTCTTAATCCTTGCATTGTGTGCAGCCATTTGCCCTGCGGTGAGGAAGGAAGCAGCATTTGTGCTGATCCTTTCCTCCAGCTCATTTTGCCATAGGTTTGTCCTGAGAGGGAGCCTTGTCCTCTCTCTGCAAGGTGCCTGACCATGGGCTCTTAAAGATACAGTGACACAATTTTCTCTCAGGAACTTAATTCCCAGGACTGCTGCTTCTCTCGCCACATGATCGTTAGGTCCTTGTACCAGACTTTCAAACCCTTTTAAAGGCCTATGGGGAAGAGGGGGACTGACCACAGAGAATTACTGCCTTGAAATATCCCATCACCTTCAGTTCCATTTTAATGCCAGAGTATGTAGAGAAAACATGTTTGATAATGAAAACAAAAGTCTTCTTGGCAGATTTTATAGTTCATTATTTTCAAGGCCATGCATGAAATCAAAATTTCATTTCTATGTTTACTTCTTGACAATGACTTGGGATCCAAAATGCCTCAAAAGAAGATTTGATAATTTGCAATAATGAGCTGCCTTTAAGGGGGTCTGTTTAAAGCTGGCTGGCCTTGTACAATTTGGCTGGCATTCTGTTTAAAATATTCAAAGTTGGAGGGTCTGGAAAGTAGGGATGTAAAAGAGTGGTCGAATAGTTGACTACCTGCTAAGCCTAGGTTTATCAGGTAGTTGAGTCGACTAATTTCATTCTCTCCCTCCCCCTTCTCCTCCACCCCCCCCC